TGGGAACAGATAGCTGGAGCAATGGTAGAAGCTTAAGGGGTATTAATGCCAGTGATTACAGATTCATATGGAAACATAATCTTATGAAAACATCATTCAGAAGTGATAAAATCATATTGTAGTGTGTACTATACATGATATATTTAATTAATTTTCATATTTAGTGTAATAGTGTCCCTTTAACGGTTATAAAGAATATGTACCTGGCCAGAGAAGCCTTGTATCTATATGTAGAAGTTGTAAATCAAATTATCTGTGTAACTGTGGCTCCCACTAGGTATTTATTTGTGTAACTGAGAAAATCATCACCCATATTTTCCAGTGGAAAAAATGCATCTCATGTCCAGAGAGAAGAGCCTATTAAAAGTTGAGATGACACCAAGGGACAAGTCAACAGCCAAAATATGATGCAGAGCATTTTTGTTTCCTTTTGAATCCACGCACACACATTAGAACCCAGCTGTCAATATAATCTGTGGTCATGAAGATTATCATCATTCCCCTCCCCTCCATTAGCACAGGAAGTATCCAGTTTACTGAGTTGGAAAGGTCATATCACTGAAAGCAATAACAGCTAGGATTTGGGAAAGTTCTCAGTTCCTGAGTAATGGAGTTTACAACTTATAGATCCAGAAGCTGGCTTATAAAGATCATTTTGTTAGCTGAAGCTGGCATTAGACCTGTAACAGCTGGTAAAGTCACAAGAGCTTGTGCTTATTTTGGACTGAGCTTCATAACTGATCAGTTTTCAGTTCTCAAAGAATGTTCTATAAATACTTGGCTTTGATTGTCAAAAAGTACAGTCAACACAGTTGGTAACAGTCTTCCTGTAATACGAAAAAGAGGGCTGAAATGTAGACCTTAAACTGTGTTATCCTGTAAGCGTCAAAAGACTAAGGGTTCAAAGCTTTTTAACAAATATAACATTTTTAAAACTGACCACCAGACAGATATAAAAGACACAGATGAATGCAGCTCTGTATTCATTAATACATTAGTTGAATTTGAATAATACATTAAATGATGCAAGCGCCTGAATTTGAATGGGTATCAGCCTTTCGCAACCCCCTACAAATTAGCACTGGGAGAGGATGGGGCAGTGCTGAGAACCACTTGAGTGTGTATCATGTGCTCACAATGATTATGCTGATAGGAAGAGAGAGTAGAGGGATGAACTCATCAGTTTTCTGCTGAACTATTACTGTACAGTCAGCAGGCTGAGGGTAAAGAGAGGACACCACTGTATGGCTGAGGGTAAAGAGAGGACACCACTGTGGCAAGTTAAAGAGCTCCCTTATATGAATTTTGCATGTGTATTTAACTGTTTTCCTGGAGATCAGCTTTAAAACAACAGAAACTGACTGAATTTCTAGACACTTGCCAGATTTTTTTTCATCATTCTTCATTAATGCAAAGGTTCACAAAAAATGGAAAAAAAAATGTTGTGCTTATAAAATATTCTGTTTTGACTCATGATTTGTGGCATGGTTAAAATTATACATATTGTGTGATGTATATATATATATATATACACATCAAACTCTCTATTAACCAGTACAGTGGTACCTCGGTTCACGAACTTAATTCGTTCCGCGATTCTGGTCGCGAACCGATTTGGTTGTGAACCGAATCAAACTGTGATCTCAACTAGAGGAAGCCATGATCATGTGTCAGAGCAGAGAAAATGGCTGCGGTTGTGTTCGTCACCCGAAGCGGAGTTCGCGAACTGAGGCAACATTTTGCTGAACTTCTTGTTCACGAACCAAATTTTTTGTGAACAGAAGCGTTCGTGAACCGAGGTACCACTGTATTCAACTAGCCGGAAATCTCAACTAGCAGGTATAAAAAAAATACCAGTACTGTGCACTCACTGTTATAAAGCATGCCGATCGTCAAGCACTGCGCACATGCTCCACCCTAGTGATCACTCCTAATACTGTATGCTTAGGATGGCATACAGAACATTACAGATCCTCAGTCCCGCTGTCAGGCAGCCCCAGGGCACACCGGGCCCTAAGGAAGCACGCGTCTCTGTTTACTCTGTTTCCTCCGATCAACTGGGATCTACAGTACAGTATTAAAGCACCCATATTAAAGCACTGTTAGAGCACCTGTACGTATTACAGCACTATACTGACATTTTGTGTTCTCACCCCAAGTACAGTATGGCAAACCCAATCCCAGGTAAGTGTACAGTAAAGGCATAGTGCTTACCCTCCAGCAGGGTAATATGCAAGATGCTTGAAAAAGGTGAGTTATGGTTGTGCGGTGCTAAAGAAGGAATTTAATATTGGCTACAATCTATGACATTAATTTAAGTGTCTCTATTTGTCATAATTTGCTTTTAATTACTGTATTTCAATATTAATATTAAGTCAATACAGATTTTATGATATGGCATGGTATAGTATGAAGTATTGCATTAGTTAGACCTACTTTTAATAGTAACTCTCATCCTTTTGTATTGTTTTGTGTATTGCCCTGCCCATGTGCACCTTTTCTTTGCTAGTTTCAAATTGAATAGAGCTGCAGTCTCTGTTGCTTTTTGGATTTGATGCAGACACACACTTGAGGTTTTCAGCTTCCTTTCGGAGGACATGTCTGGGCTGGGCTTCCGGTGAGTTATTGTACCTTTAATGAGGGTGGGACTACCTCCAGATGAGCCTGCTCTTGGTTTGTGGATTGTCATATACATCCCATTGTTAGGAACTCACATAGTGTAGAGTTAGGGACACACTTATTAGAGGCGTCTTGATGTGGTAGTGTGGCTTCCACATGTTTTTGCAACCTCCGTTTTTACCTTTAGTAGCTGAGACAGTTTAGGTTGTTTTTGCTGGCTAGCTTGAAAGTACGTCAGGGAACTTTTGTATTGTTTATTGATTTAAAATTGAACTCTGGACTAGTGTAAATCATAACCATGCAGTGGGTGCCCCCACCTGTGCTACATGGGTTAAATGCCGATGTACGGCTGATTTCAGCCGATGTACGGCTGAAATTAGCCGTACCAGCCTGAAGTGAATAGCCGAACAGTGTTCGGCTCACTTCACTTCAGATCGGTCATTCACTCGGCTGCCCTCGGCAGCTTTGTGAATAGACCCCTTAATCTATGTGATGATGAATAAGGGGAATAGCTTCCCTTTTTCTAATTCCCCCAGCAGTCAGAGCTCTTTTCCTTTCTTCAACGCTCTTGAGATGTGGACGGGCACTTGCAATCCTCACACGCAATGCAGGACTGCTGGTCTTGTATTGTGCATGATGAGAGAACTGTAACCGATCAAGCATCAAAGAGAAGAGGCTTTGGGGTACTGTTGGTAAGGTGCGGTGGAAGGCTGTGGGGGCAAGGATTAGGGTATGTAATTCATCATTACCCTATAGTGGGACAAAGGTGTTGATGGCTAGCCACTTGGGAGTCTCTTTTTGTGATCAGCTGTTCTGGGCTTATAATCCACACTATTTACTAATTCTCTCTCTTTGAAACATAAAAGAGAAGCATTTGGCTTCTGTGTAACTGTATGACCAATGGGTGTTCAATAAAGTGCAATGCAGCAGTTTTCCCTAAATAGACTTCCCTTTTCATTTAAACTTTAGAGTTAGGGACAACTTTTGCCTGCAGATATACATGTATAAGCTGTATATTCAGTTTTTATTCTGGTTGTGTATTAAGGGTAGATTTTTTTTCTTTTTTTTGTATATTGTATCAAAGATCTGTTTTAAAATTCCCTTACAGACAGAAAAAAAGTCTGCAGTATAACTCTTCCAAATGCTTTATTTACCGTAGATAGAAAATATGTAGCAAATATGTTATCAAGCTGAGTAGTTTCTCATCTGCCCCACTGTAACATCCCCAGCATACAGTAAGTAACGTAAATTATCCAGGTTATTTGCTACAGCCTTATAAACAGGACAGTTTACTAAATTACTTTGTCATATCTTAACATATGGGTAGAGCGGCTTATAAGACATATTTGCGCTGACGCCATTGCCTGCAAACGTAAACAATATTTGACAATGCAGCTATTTGTCTATTACATTATATTTAAATCAAACCATAATGTGAGCAGCAGCATATTTCAACAACGCAACAGAAATGGCATAGAATAAATAACAATAAACACTGAAGTTTCCAACACTATATAAATGACATAAAATGTAGGACTTTGTTATAGATTTGCATTTGTTTATTTAGAACTTAAATACTGCATGGATTTGATGGGGTTTTTTTCAGTGGCTTGTGTAAAAATGTTTTAGCTCTGCTATGTTTTCCCACCAAACCTTAGTTGGTAGTGAGGATTTACCCATTAATGACGTGTACACCCTCCCCTCTTACAATTACATATAAGTTACTAAAGCATACATTATATATGCAGAATATTACAGCACCGTACCTAACTCCATACTGAAAATACCAACCAAAGTCTCCCAGGGATGTCTGTACTACTCAAAAAAAAATACAGTCATGAGAACATTGACTAAGACAAACATAACTAATCAGATCTTGAAACACATGGATTTAATGTTTGGCAAGGCTGCACATCCAGTCCTGTATTGTTCTGTGGGCATAGCATGACAGGAACTGTAACATTACAAATCTGACTGTGCGCATGTGGGTTCATAAGAGATCATGAATACAGAATACGTGGAACTGAGTTACAGATGTGTTGACTAAGCAGCACAACTCCTCCATTGCATACAATCATTATGTTCCCTCAAGATCCATCATGTTGACCAGGGGACCAATAAAGAGTATTCCAAATACATCATAAAACAGTGGAATTTGAGTTCACATTATGCTAAATCCAACAATTCATATTTCAAGCACTTCTTATGGTAACTAGTTTCAGATGGCATATCCTTATTATTAACTTAAAGTACCAATGAGAACAAAATCCTTGGCCAGGTCAACAGCCAGAGGATGGTCTAGTAATGAGCATACCAAGTTCAGGAAGAACTATAGAAATATCACATCTTTTAACAACTTTCTCAATTCAGTGTCCATAAAGGTAACAATAACTAACATCTCTGGTCTCCAGCTGAGCAGTAAATCCCTCAAGTGCTCAGAAGTGGCTGCAATCACAACGTTAATGAGCATTACATTCTGCTTCATTGGTTTTGTTAGATAGTGGCTCTCCATTCTTACGCTTCTTCATATTTCTTGCAGGAAGTCTACAGGGAAGAGCCCCACCTTACGGCCTGTCAGAACTTTGATGTAACCGTTTACTTCCTCTCCTTTTTGAACAACGATCTAGACGAAGGACAAAGAAAAAGATCATTCATACTTAAGTTTTAAGTATGAACATGGGCTATAGAGCTAGGTCCAATTAATTCACACAGACAGGCAGTGGCAAGGCAGGTAGGTCCTGGGTTCTTCTGGTTTTAACCACGGTTTACTGTGAACTCAGCTTTCGTGAATGATTGCTGCCAACCACAAGTCAGAGCTGCTATGGGTTCTGTGACCCATCTGTGAGCAGAGCTCTCCAGAACCTCATTTGTTAATTATGTTTTTGCTTCCCTAATTCAATTAAACAATTAAAGCAGAATTGAAATTAAAGCTAAGGTCCACTTTAAAGCAGAGAGTTACATAGTATTTGAGGTTGAATAAATACATAAGTTCATCAAGTCCAACCTATTGCGTGTATGCATTTATAATTGAGCTGGTGTGTGGGTGTGTGTGAGTCCATGTTTGATTTTGTTCTTAGCAGTACCTGTACCCCTGAATGTTATGGTCTCCAAGGAAAACGTCTTAAGTGTTTCTTGAATGATTCCACACTCTTTGCTGTGGAAGTGAGTTCCAGACCTTAACCGCTCTAACTGAGAAGAACCCCTTGCGCCCCGTGTGCTGAAATTTTTTCTCCACCAATTTTAGGTGGTGGCCTCTAGTCTTTGTTATGGGGTTAACCGTAAAGAGTTTGCTAATAATGTTGCCTTTACCATTGAACATTTTATACAAGAAAATCATGTCCCCCCTTAATCTCCTTACTTCCAAAGAGAACATATTTAGTGACTGGTTAAATGCAGATGCAGTAGGCTAGACTTCAATCAAGATATGATGATATCAGATTACTCAACTCCGCCCACTTATCTGGCTATGACAGATGTGATTTGGCAGTTTACCGAACTTCCTAACTTTACCCAGCATCAAGAGTGGGGGATAAGTTAAGTTTAAATGCTGCAAGCATAATTCCAAATTTTAGCATCCGTGTTCATTGCACCATCCAGTTCATGCAAGCAGTACAGAGCATTTAAAGTGAGGCAACTGCAGCTTGGAAAGTGCTATGTGCTGCCCTGTAAAGTGTGTATGTGCTTAGTGCAAACCAGCATTCTTGATTAGAAATGCAAGTCTCCAGTTTAATTTTCTCATATAATTCCTTCTCCTTCTCAAACAGGAAATACCTTACTATCAGAAATGAAGAAAAAATGTTTACTGTACAAGTTAGAATTGCTCAATTTTTTTTTAAGATTGTCTTTCACTCTGCTATAAACTAATACAGAAAAAGGTCAGAATATACTAACCTGATCTCTCTTCAATGTAATCTGTCCAATCTCTCTGTTTCCAACAAATGACCGAGTGACTTTGTAAACTCTTTCCCCAGCACGCACCCGGATGATAAAATTAGCAGGTAAATAGCCGGCTTTCTCCCCTATCTTTCCCTAAAAGATAGGAAGGAAGAAATAACAAACTTTGAAAGTAAAACTACATTACATGGTAGAATTCTGATGACTAAATGGCTGTATTAAATTAGTCAACAGTAACATGCTACTTGTCTAAAGAGTGAACTGTATCAAGCCCAAGTTAAATTATACTGGTGATAAATTATCTTCAAAAGTATCCACTGTACAAGTAGTTAGTTTTATTTTGTGAATATGGCAAGATAACTGGCAGCTCCACACATCCCTTTAGGTATTTATATTGTGTTCTGCAGCATTCATATCAGCTAAGTAAGTCCCATAGACTGCACTGTATTGGGGACAAGTATTTTTCTAAATATTACTTACTCTCCACCATTCTTCATTGGAGTCATCAATAACTGTAATTCTGTCTCCAGCCCTGAAAAGAAATACAACGTGTTTTAGTATAAGGAAACAGAAACAGCTTACTTTTGGTTACAATATGTTATGACATTTATGAATCATGTAACAAATGAGTAACAAACAGATACATTAAATTGTATTTTCTTTATTTTCGTATTTTCATTAAAAAAAACTGTAAACATATTAAAAGAACAATGTTGTCTCATAAGAAAGATAATGAAATGGTTATATTTTGATATTTGAATAGGTCATAATTGCAAAGCCATTACACCATATATCAAATTTGGAATTACTGCTTTTTTTAGATAAACATTTCCAGAACTTAAATATTTTCTTTAATATTGACCAGGCCACAATGAGCTTCCAGTGTGAAAAGAGTTCTAAAAAAAAGTGTTATTATTTTGAAAAACACCTATACTGATTTTCTTCATGGTCTTTGAACTAATGCCAGTGGGCTTAGAAGAATTAATAATGGGACTTTGGTTAAGCCAGCCCCCACACTATAAAAGAGGAGAACAGGTCAGCCATAGTGTCAGTGAATATGGAAGCTGTTGTAAGAAAAGCACACAAACTCCACAAAAAGAGATTAGGGCAATTAGCAAACTGTACTTTGATTGTGATTGCTAGATATTTGGGTAATCACCCCCCTTGTTGCCTTTTTTGTTATTATTAGGAGATGTTTGGTCATTTTATTATGTGGTTGATTTGAGGTCAGCGGTCACTTTTAGCTGTTGTCCTGTCCATAGCAAACAAGTTTTTTTTTGCAGCAAGATTTCCCATTAAAAAAAGGGAAGGTGCTTTTGTTTCAAAGGGTGGGATTGTGTGGTATTCATTTATTTTTGGGGTATGTTGGTTTTTATTTTATGTTGATAGTGTCTTTATTTTAGTATCTTCTTTTAGGTTAAACTGTTTTTTTTTTCTTTTTCTTCAAGGCTTTACCATAAATAATCACCGGTATCAGTATGGGAAATTACCCCTATAATTGATGCAAAAATCGGTCTAAACGGAATTGACAGAATAGTAGCAGAGAGGCTCTTCTGTCTTCTTAAGCCCTAGAACTTCCACTCACAAAAGGGACTAGTTGTTAAAGGGTTAGTTTAACAACAACAAAAGTATTTTTGTTATAAGTAGAACCTATAAGCCTTTCTTTACTTCCTTTTATTCTAGCCTGTTAACTCCAACAGAGCAATTCTAACAAAAAAAATCACAGAAGTAATGGTGGCCATACACGTAGCAATTTGTGATCGATTTAGGTGATTCATCATGCATTAACATATTGAATAATTCAACACACACAGTAGTGTTCCACACTTTGTGAACAATTGAAAATATTGATTGACAATACAGTCTATAAGTTATTAAAAATGATCACTTAATTGATATCTGGATAAATCTTAAAGTGGAACTGAACCCTCCTATGTGCCGACAACAAGCCATCTTTGCCTCTATTTAGATATTCAGTTGCCATGGTACTGCACACATGACCAGCTATGCCATTTGAAAGCTTAACAGGTCAGTTGAGAGATGACATAAACACACTGCCTACTACGACAGTTATTTATTACACATATTTCTATAGCACCGTCAATTTATGCAGCACTTTAAATACTGTGAGGGCAATTTATCAAAACTGGAGCAGACAAAATCTGGAGCAGCTGTGCACATCAACCAATCAGCTTCTCTCTTTTATTTCCAAATTTTAACTTAACAAACTGAAGAGAGAAGCTGATTGGTTGCTGTGCACAGCTGCTCTAGATTTTGTCTGCTCCGGTTTTGATAAATTCCCCTCATTATGTTCACATCAGCCCCTGCTTTAAGGAACTTACAATCTTAATAAGTTTACATACCCTGGCAGAATTTATGATTTCCTGGCCATTTTTCAGAGAATATGAATGATAACACGAAAACCGGTCACTCATGGGTAGTGTTTGGCTGAAGCCATTTCCACTGTGTTCACTCTTTTCCAATCATAATGACAACAGAAACTACCCAAATGACGCTGATCAAAAGTTTACATACCCTGGTGATTTTGGCCTGATAACATGCACACAGGTTGACACAAAGTGGTGTGAACGGCTATTAAAGGGAACCATCCTCACCTGTGATCTGTTTGCATGTAATCAGTGTGTGTGTATAAAAGGCCAATGAGTTTCTGGCCTCCTGACAGACCTTTGCATCCTTCATCCAGTGCTGCACTGACGTGCCTGGATTCGGAGGCATGGGGAAAGCAAAAGAAATGTCAAAGGACCCGTGGGAAAAGGTAGGTGAACTGTATAGAACAGGAAAGGGATAGAAAAAGATATCCAAGGAATTGAGAATGCCAATCAGCAGTGTTCAAACTCTAATCGAGAAGTGGAACATGAGGGGTTCTGTTGAAACCAAACCACGGTCAGGTAAACCAACTGCACTGTCAGCCACAACTGCCAGGAAAATTGTTCGGGATGCAAAGAAAAACCCACAAATAACTTCAGGTGAAATACAGGACACTCTGAAAACATGTTGTGTGGCTGTTGCAAGATGCACAATAAGGAGGCACTTGAAGAAAGATGGGCTGCATGGTCGAGTAGCCAGAAGAAAGCCATTACTATGCAAATGCCACAAAGTATCCCGCTTAGAATACGCCAAACAGCACAGAGACAAGCCTCAACCCTTCTGGCACAAAGTCATTTGGAGTGATGAGACCAAAATTGAGCTTTTCGGCCACAACCATAAACGCTACATTTGGAGACGAGTCAACAAGGCCTATGATGAAAAGTACACCATTCCTACTGTGAAACACAGAGGTGGATCGCTGACGTTTTGGCGATGTGAGAGCTACAAAGGCACAGGAAAGTTGGTCAGAAATGATGGCACGATGAATGCAGTATGTTATCAAAAGATACTGGAAGACAATTTGCATGTATCAGCCCGGAAGCTGCGCATGGGACGTACTTGGACATTCCAAGATGACAATGATCCTAAACACAAGGCCAAGTTGACCTGTCATTGGCTACAGCAGAATAAAGTGAAGGTTCTGGAGTGGCCATCTAAGTCTCCTGACCTCAATATCATTGAGCCACTCTGGGGAGATCTCAAACATGCAGTTCATGCAAGACAGCCCAAGAATATACAGGACCTGGAGGCTTTTTGCCAGGAAGAATGGGCAGCTTTACCATCTGAGAAGATAAAGAGCCTCATCCACACATACCACAAAAGACTTCAAGCTGTCATTGATGTTAAAGGGGGCAACACACCGTATTAAGAACTGGGGTATGTAAACTTTTGATCAGGGTCATTTGGGTAGTTTCTGTTGTCATTATGATTGAAAAAAAAATAAACACAGTTGATTGATAAATGGCTTCAGCCAAACACTACCCATGAGTGACAGAAAGGTTTTCGTGTTATCATTCATATTCTCTGAAAAATGGCCAGGAAATCATAAATTCTGCCAGTGTATGTAAACTTATGAGCACAACTGTATACTAGGGCCAATTTAGGAAGGAATCATTTAGCATACAGCATGTCTTTTTGGTGTCGGAGTAAACCAGAGTACCTGGTAGAAATCTACACATGCACAGGAGAACATGCAAACTCCATGTAGATATTGTGTTGCAGAAGTGCTAACCAGTGAGCCCCAGAGGCTTGCTTAGCATACAATGCACATGAAAACACTGGGGGAAACAACATTGGTATGTTTAAAAAATATATGTATAATGTTTATAAAACAGTTTAACTTGAGCTTTCTTTTGGGAAACAGTATAATCAGTAAGTTTAGTTCTGCTTTAATGGCCAGTCATGGCAGTAGACAGCAATACAACCGTTAAAATAAATACTTACTGGAAATCAAGGTCATCTTTTTCTAGTGCTTTAAATCGGTAAAGAGCAACAAAATAATGAGATTGCATAAACCCTGGTTGTGTCTTCTTATTCTGTAACAGTGAAAGAGAATAGTGTGAATTACAATCTATTCCTGTCATAGCAGGTATTCCCTGACATCTGGACAGTGCAGAAAATGTGTGGTCAAGAAAGGGTTCAGCTGGTGCTGTCTTCATAAAATTGATATCTTGGATTGGGATGAAGGTACTGAAACACATACATTTTTTAGGTGGTGAAATCCCTTAAAAAATCTTTTCATAATTCAGTTATTGATAGTAGGAGAGTGCTTGTATGATACACTGACTGGTCTGCTCCTCTATCTGCCCATACATCAGAATCAAACTCCTTAGGTCAGTATATTTAATCCAGGTCCTATACTGCCTTGGCACACAAAATTCATAATATTAGCTGGAGCCTTTCATTTTTAGAGGAAACTGTGAAGCTATCATTTGCAGCAACTCTACATTACATAACACCCAGACTCTGGTTTAGTAATGCTAAATTCTTTTGACAAATAGTAAAACTGTCAAAAAATTCAGACCTGGTTTCCATTGCTATAAATACTTAATGTATAATATAAAAGGAATAGTTTTACAGTCTTTTTGTAGCAAGGAAAGCAAAAGGGACAAAACAGGTGTTTAACACTTATCAGGTAATAGAACTATAGTTTACTATTAAAATAAATTAATTGTAAGTGCATCTGCACCTATAGTTTTTGCTTAGTCCAAAGTCTCAAAAATACCTGTTAATCCTACCAGTGAAGTCCCTCTCTTGCAGCTTCCTGTAATGTGGCGACAACCTTTCTGCACAGCTCCAGAATTTAGAGCAGCATTGTCACCCTTATGAAGACTGTGTCTTCTTGAACTACGGTGGGATAAAATGAGGTTGCAGGCAGCATGGCTATCAGCATTTACACTGCTTATTCACAAGCCCATAGCTTGTCAATCAACAGTAAGGCTGTGCAAAGAATAACATTGATGCACTCAATTGACAAGTGGTTATGGGTTACATCACTGGCCAGTGCTGTGGCCCATAACCACCAATCAGATTTTAGTTTTGTAGTAAGATCATTGAATGTTGTAGTTGCCACCCCATGTATTAAACATCATCCAGGTAAAATGGTTTATACAGGGACAAAATGTCTAATTCATGTATTTCATCATGATTCTGTGCTGCAGGCTCCACAGGATCTGACCCATATTCCTCCAAAGAACACAAACATGACATTATATAACAAAGTATAGGAATGTCTCTCTATTGTATTTACTATTCGCAGCTGATTCCTTAATTCTTTTTACACTTTATTTTATCAAAAGAGAATGGCCCGGCATTTGATATATATGGTCAGCAATCTATATTGATATGTAGAACTATTCACATCAGACCAACATCAGACCAACAAAATGCATCACAAAAAAAATAAATATTTAAATAAAACAGAGTAACAAAAGCCTCAATTCACAAAGTTTTACACAAGGAAAAGGCTCTATTTTATGTCATGCTGTTGTCATGTATACATCTTATTGTAATCAGCTGAAAATACAAAGCCCTTTTAAAAAAATAAAATAACGTACTATCATTATCTTGGTGTGTTAGCTTGTGTAATATGCCTACGGTCTTTAAATATTTTTTTCTGAAACGTCTACATATTTATACATAAAAGTTATTACCATTTATCATTTATATGAAACATACAGTATACAAATATGTAATCTATATATAGCAACATGTTACTACTTGGACATTTTCCAGTTCCACATCTTTGGCTTCCTGTCAAGCTGTCTACCAACTACATGGTTTGCCAGATGTACCTTGACCACCACCAACAACAATAACAATTCACTGTTTCCAATAAATGCATATGGCTAGTGAGAATACTCTGAATATGCATGTCTGGGAGAAAAATATATACTTGTGGTCAGAATATATCCTCATCTCAAATCACTATGGGGTCTATTCACGAAGCTGCTGAAGGATCTAGCCGTAGCTTCGGCTCCGGGACCCCTTCGGTTCAGTAGCCGTACGTGGCCGAGCGGCTCAGTCGAGCCGAACGCATATGCCTCGGCTCGGCTGGCCGACAGCCTGCTTCTGACAGCTGGGCGGAGCCAGCCGTGATCTTACGGCTGGCTCCGGCCACTTGCAGAGAGATCAGCGTCCCTGGTTACCTACTAACCAGGGACACTGATCTCCAGACAGCTAACTCTCCCTGGCGCTCCGGGAATCTCCTGCTCCCGGCCGCCAAGGAGAGAAACACTGCTGTTTCTTTTTTTTTATTATTCTGACACGGAGCTGTGTCAGAATAGAAAAAAAAATTGCCCATTGGAATGCATTGCTAGATTCCTATTGGCTATTTCAATTTGCAATAGCCAATAGTAAACTAGCATTGTACCCGCCCTCTGCTGCAGTTCTCCATCAGCAATTGCAAATTGAAATAGCCAATAGGAATCTAGCAATGCATTGCAATGGGCTAAAATATTTATTTTTTCTATTCTGACACGGCTCCATGTCAGTATAAAGAAAAAAAAAAAGAAAAAGCAGTGTTTCTCTCCTGGGCGGCTCCCAGAGCGCCCGGGTGATTTGTTTTCTTTTTTTTTACGCCAGCAGAACCGCCGGACAATAGAAAACTGTTGGGCGGAGCTAGCTGTCACTGTGAGCATGTTCGGCCGACCCGAAGACATGCGAAGCAAGCCAATGTACGGCTGATTTCCGCAGATATACGGCTGAAATCAGCCGTACCAGCCTGAAGTGAATAGCCGAACAGTGTTTGGCTCACTTCACTTCAGGTCGATCATTCACTCGGCTGCCTACGGCAGCTTAGTGAATAGACCCTTATAATGTTTCTACGGGCAAGTTTAAACTAAAGGCTAAAATATTACATTCTAATCAGTGCTAGTATATTAAAGTGACACTAAACTTAACTATATTTTTTGATATTTCTCAATTTCACATTACACTAAACTCAGGAGTTAAATTTTTTAAATGCATTCAAGTACCTTAATTATTAACAAAAATCAAATTATTTGTGTATCACTCAGCTGTAGCTCCTCAAATCATCTCTGAATTCATGCTGACACTGTCCTTCCTCCTGTAGATTGGCTACTTTTGTTACCCATGGTCCCTGTGTGTGCTGCAAAGTAGCCACCGCTCCAAGCTCGCTGCCGTGATGGACTACAATCTCAAAACAAATGAGTAAACTAATTTTTATTTTGTTAATAATTAAGGTACTTGAATGCATTTTTAAGATTTAACACCTGAGTTTAGTATTTCTTTATTATGTAATCGTCTATGCTAAAATGTACTCTTTTAGTGGTAGCTAATTTCTTACTGAAATTAAATGTATTTTACTAAAAATTGTTTTAACTTTTTTTCCTTACCACCAGCAATGTACATATTAAAAATGACAGCTGACATACTTCATGCTGTATGGCACCTAATGCCAGTGGAGATAAGTGGAGATCTCCAGTGCTGATGGTTTCATATTTAATGTACTGTATAGGATTTTATTGCATGTCAAAAAGCGTTTTAAAACAACAGCATGTTAATTAGTAAAAACATTAAAACTGTTATTTCTTATTAATATAATTGCAAAGCAAAACTCAAACAAAATATGTGGCTCTTCCAAAATGTTAGTGGCACCCCAAAATCGACTTACTTGCCTGCCAACGCTCTATAATTAAAACATTTGCAAATCGACAATTACCTTTGCATCCTGTGGGTTTTTGTCACCTTTCTTGTCACCATCAGGAGAATCTAGGATTAAACAAGACAACAGTGGTGGAAATGACAGCCCTTGGGTAGCACATTTCATTCCAAGACCTCAAAGCTCTTTTCAGAAACAATTAAAACACGGGATTTGCAGTTGTTATTACTCATTTATAATTGGTGCTCATTATCTGCATGGAGAGGATAAAAGGCTGAACTGACCTTCGGCAGAATCATGAGTCTGACCTTCACGTCAGAGACAGTATTACGGAAAGCAGCCATATCTGGTTAATGTGTGTTTGACATATATTTGTTCACAGGTTGAAAGGTGAGCTGTACATAATAATACACTCATAAAAGAATATACCACACAGGAGAAAAACAGAGTACACTAAGCCTGCATACTTGAAAGTAATTATGTAACCCCATTCAAACACAGTAGGGCAAATTCTCACCTCCTTCCTGCTTGCCTTCTTCTGGTTTGGGGGGTTCAGGCTCCTCGTCAATCATAGCCGCAGGCTGGGGAGAAATGACCCAGTTATGTAAATACAAGCAAATAAACATGGGGGCAATTTTAATTAAAAGAGGATCTTTTATCCAAAGACTTTACAGTATATTATGGACACAATTATCATATCAGTGCTTGAATTGTTCATTTTCCATTTAAACATTACACTAATTTTCACAGCAATGACTGGAAAGACCTTGGAAAAGTTCAAGCTTCAATTCTCAGGAGAAGCAAAAACCATAAAAAAATATTGTTTTTCCATAAAAAATGACAACTAAAGCAATTTATATGAAAATTGGTAAGAATTACATTATATAATCAACAATGGTAATAGTTTAATCATAATTAATCATGAAGACAAAATGCACGCTATAGCTATACACATAGTTCTCGCTAAGTTAGGTTTTTATCCAAAAAGAAACAAAATTAGTACTTTTGAGGGCTAAGAAACAAAGTAATTGAGGATAGAGGCTCACTGTGGTGGAAAGCATATCTAATTATGAAACTGCAAGGTTCCTCCTTCAACCTGACAGAGGTATCTTTCACCTTGAAAGCCTGCTGTTGTTTTCACTAGTGTTGAAATACCAATGTTAAGTAAGGCCAGGGTCCTAAAAGAACTTGGGCACTAATGGTCACCATCCTAAATTATAGCATCATCAAGATGGATGGGGTATAGTCCAGAATTCTGCAGCCACGATACTCATGTTTTATGTCTATAATGCCCCCTCAGAGAGCCTAACATGTGGATAGACTGCTTTGTTAGGAACATATCTTCTAAACGTTATAACTTTGGTCACACAACTGGGCTGCACAAGGATTTAGGTATTTGCATCAATTTCAACTGGGAGAGGAACAGGTAACTTCCTTGTGTAGTATTGTAGGTCAGTAAATATAACATTACCATAATGGACAGCACTAATAAGTCATTGTAATACAAAATGTTTAGAAACTGCATATGTAAGCCACTTGTTGGGAGATCCAGGGCACATGCCCCTGTTGCCTGGATTTAGCAGTGCCACTGTTTTTCAATACAGTTAACCAATAAAAGCAATAACTATCATTGACTTTGATAATTTTTTTCCCACCAATGTAGTAATCCTGATCCATTTCACAATTAACACAATACCACAGTTAATTTTAATTACACAACTACACAGTCAGGTTAAAAAAAAAAAGTAGATTTATGATGCTAATAGTGAAACATCCTTTTGAGTTCATGCTTCACATATTGGCAGACATATTTGCCAAACATCTTGTCTAAAGCAACATTGGCTGATCATTACATGGACTTCTTTATGCACAAGGAATGCTGTTCTGGGACACTATGGGCATTTGCTATGATTTTAATGGTTTCTGTACCTTTTAAATATGGGCTGATAATTTTGGGGATATAAAAATGTAAGTAGTTTAGTAAATGGTGCATCATTGACGTTCTTACTGCTATATATCCCGGTTGTAATTATCTTTAACAACAGGGTGAGCCTATTTCACTAACATTGTACATTAATACTTTTTGACTTGTTAGCGTATTTACTATATTGTTAGCAAATTAGGTCAAAGCCTTTTTTAATTCAAGCGTCCACCAAACAAAAAACATCTTGCATTTTTAAAAACCCTAATCCAGCACTTGATCCAAAAGAAGACACAAAAACCCCAAATGTTGTTTCTTCTAACTGTTAGTAAGTTTATATTTTGCATACTTAAAAACACATACACTCCTTCTGTAAAGCAATTTACTGAATTGGCTGTGAAAGGCCCTTCAACATTTTCACAGCTCTTACAGTAAAGCAGTCCTACCCTTTGTAGCAGTTAGCCCTTTCATTGCCAGAGCAGCACACATACTAAAATACACATTTTGTCTACGAACATGTACTTTGAACCCCAAAATATTATATATGATCTAAAACCTATAAAATAGTGGTAGTTGCAACTTTTTATACTTTTTAATGCACACAAAGACAATATAATCACTATTTTTGGTAAAATATAAGGTTTTGTCAAGTAAATAGATAACAAATATGAGCAACCTCAAAATTGCATCTGCCTGTGAACTGGCAAAAACCTATGATACCCCAAATTGTCCATAGATGATACTCTAAAAGCCTTTACAGCTTATCAATCCAGAAGTTACCATAAATGATGGCTCTAACATTATTGCTCTGACTCTGGTGTGTGGTGCAATACCTAATATGTCTGATGCAGTCATCATTCGTCTATGCACACACTTAATGCATTTGTTTGCGTTCTTATGTGCATATATGTGGGTTCAAGAAACGTTTAAAACATTTTTGGGGTGAATCTTAATTTAGTTTAATAAACTTTCATTTGTTTTTTTAAACTTTATTGCCTTCACACGGAAGCTAATAAGCCCTCCTATGTGATAGTAACAGGTCCTCTTTATAAACACATCAGTCATCTAGCCCACCTCAGCACTCTGCTGAAGAAAACAGACTGTCCTTGACAAGCCTTTTACCTGGCCAAAGCAGTCATGGCTTGTCAGCCCTGTACCCAAAAGTGGTCTGAGCTAAGCAATTCCAGGTTCATGCTTCACAGGAGACAAAGCGAATGGATGTTTGCTGATCTCTCGCTCCTCTCGGAAACATGGTAGGCAGCAGGGTGCCACATTTCCCAACACGTACAAGTGATCGGGTGGCTACTACATAGCTGGCAGCCTTCCTAAAAAGGCCGGATGTTTGTGGATGTGCTGCCCACCCTGTAATAACAAAAGGGTCAAACCTCTTTTGTTCCAGTTATAAGGAGTACCCTCATTTCTTTTGTGTTGGACTTAAAGTGAACAACTTCACAGTTTATAAATGAAAACACATGTTAAAGAATATGTGATTGTACAGATAAAATGAAGCATACCTCTTCTTAAACACTTTAAACATTTCAGAAATAAAAGATTCCTCTTACTAACTATAAAGTCTATAATGTGGGAACCACTAAAAGGTAACATGATTTTTAAAATAAAGCCTAACAGTGAGATCTAATTGTCTTTGTCTTTAAATTCAACGTTTGTATTCCTTACATTTTTCTTGTCGTCTTGTCCCTTTTTTCTCTCCTTATTTGCCATAACAACTCCAGTCCTCAGAGTATCGAATACTGGGTCTGTACGGTTGGCAGCAGCTGTGACACAAAGAACAAAAATTCCTTATTAAGGTGACGAGTCGTTTTTATCTCACCAAACAAAAGAGCTCCTCTCATGTCAATAAAACGAAAAGTTTCACTGTCAAAGCTTGTTTTTGTACACTGTGACTATTGCTACATTAAAATTTGAAATAAAAAAAGTTATATGTTTGCCTTATAACTTCCCAAAACCTATTTCACTGGAAATGCATCTGTCAGCAGATCAGCTTGGCATTGGTAGCCAGTGTTTTTGCCATTTAAAGAACACCAGCATTTACAACATTTAAAGTACATGTACACCCAAGAACAAGAATGTAATATATTGCAGCTTATCAGTTCTTACGTGTGGAGGATGCATTCGTTTTTAGTAAATTAGCTGCATTAGCAAATTACATGTACTGCAAGTAATGACAGTAATGCAAGTAATAACAAAAGGGTCAAACCTCTTTTGTTCCAGTTATAAGGAGTACCCTCATTTCTTTTGTGTTGGACTTAAAGTGAACAACTTCACAGTTTATAAATGAAAACACATGTTAAAGAATATGTGATTGTACAGATAAAATGAAGCATACCTCTTCTTAAACACTTTAAACATTTCAGAAATAAAAGATTCCTCTTACTAACTATAAAGTCTATAATGTGGGAACCACTAAAAGGTAACATGATTTTTAAAATAAAGCCTAACAGTGAGATCTAATTGTCTTTGTCTTTAAATTCAACGTTTGTATTCCTTACATTTTTCTTGTCGTCTTGTCCCTTTTTTCTCTCCTTATTTGCCATAACAACTCCAGTCCTCAGAGTATCGAATACTGGGTCTGTACGGTTGGCAGCAGCCTTATAACTTCCCAAAACCTATTTCACTGGAAATGCATCTGTCAGCAGATCAGCTTGGCATTGGTAGCCAGTGTTTTTGCCATTTAAAGAACACCAGCATTTACAACATTTAAAGTACATGTACACCCAAGAACAAGAATGTAATATATTGCAGCTTATCAGTTCTTACGTGTGGAGGATGCATTCGTTTTTAGTAAATTAGCTGCATTAGCAAATTACATGTACTGCAAGTACAGAAAATATCCTTTTGATCTTGTCTTACATATTGCAGCCTTGTACCTTCCTGTGAGTTGAACTGAAATCTGAAACAATGTTATCAGCTGTCTCAGCTAACTTCTGTAAACTACACATCAACACCCCTCTATGTAATATGGATATAAGGAAATGAGAAGTTAGAATTTCAAATCAGGTGAGAAGCCTAGGGTGACAATGCTTGTCTTCTATAGATACAGTATAGTGATCATTAATACCCTTTGACAGGAAGTGTGTTACTGGCAGTATCAGCAGGTAAAAATAAAGGGGACAAAATGCTGAAAAATTTATGATTTCTGCCGTACATCGGGTGGCTTCGCGTGACTTCAGGTCGGCCGAACATGCTCAGCATGTTCAGCCGACCTGAAGTGCAGAAGGAGTTGGACTCAGCCTATCCAACATCTGGATTTCAAAGTTTTTTTATTAGTTTCCATTTTATACAGTCAACAAATTATTACATACACATGTCCTATGTAGCTCAGTAACATATCAAAACAAGCCTATAATCTCAGCATTGTATCTCCTCTCCCCGTCTTAACTCTGCTGTACACCTTTCTGATCTTATTAGCTGCACATCATTCAGGTTTACAGACTTCTGGTTTCTACAAGTGGGATAATGTAATGATAGTTTCCATTTTATCGTTAGGGATACTATTATTAATTACTGAGGTTACATATGATAGCGTCCTTTGGTGTGTGTGCGTTCACATCGCGCACCAAAGGTCCAAAACGGAAACATGGGCTTTATAAAGAAAAGGATCAAAAAAGAAGGGAAAAGGAAAAAGAAATAAAGACAGAGTAGAGGGTATGAGACTCCTAAGCTCCGGAGTTCTTAGTCGATGTTAACCTGGGTTGGCTGACAAGATACGCGGAGAATTCAGAATTCCTAGATATGACAGCCATGGGTCCCAAACCGCTTGGAAATTTGAGTGTCTATCCTGTAAGATGCTATGTAGCTTCTCGTGTGTCATGATCCAATTTAATTTAGATAGTACCATTGAGAATGGGACCCTTTCGGCTTTCCAGGATCGAGCTATTGAGGTCTTAGCTGCTAGGAAAAAACAGAATAATAGTTTGCTCTGTGCCTTAGAGATCCCCATAACTGGTTTATTCAGTAGCAGATACTGGGGGTCTCTTGGAACATGTACCTGGAGGATTCTTGAAAGCAGCGCGAAAAAGCGGTTCCAGAAGGAAAGCAATTTTGGGCAATGCCACCAAACATGGATCATCGTGCCCTGCTGATTACATCCTCTGAAACATAAGGGACTGGACCCTGGAAACATAGTAGCTATCCTTGCTGGAACTAGGTACCATCTAGAGAAGACTTTATAGTTGGCTTCTAATAGGGAAACATTAAGCATCCCCATTGTTAACCTCATGGTACACTGTTTCCATTCATCTATCGTGAGAACTTCTTCTAACTCCGTTTCCCAAGCTTCCATATAAGACAATTTAGTAAATGAGCCCAACTGAGCCGCATAAATTATAGAGATCCCCCCTCCAAAACCAGAGGCTCCTAGGCACCATGTTTCATACAATGTCCTCAACGGAGTGCCAGCATCAGGCAACTTTATCGACTGTAGGAAGTGCCGGATTTGCCCAAACCTAAACATTTCCGATGGTGGCAGCCTGAGAGTATTTTGGCAATAGGCTAAAGATATTGGTTTGTGACCCTTAATGAAGTCTCCAATTCTGTACAGGCCTTTGTCAATCCACCATTGGAACGCTTTGGTCTGTAATCCCAGTTGAAAATGTACATTATTAAATAATGGTGCCAAAGGATAATGAGGGGAGACCATATCCACATTTCCTCGTAACCGATCCCACATGGCAATAGAATGTGACAGGATAGGGGCTTTAATATTAGTTCCTGTTTCAAAGAAATTCGGATCCGAAATTCGTTAACGGAATTTCGTATTTCGGATATAATTCGGAAACTGCAATTCAGATTTCGGATGCTTCCGAATTTACGAATTTCAGCAAAATTCGTACGAATTTCGATTCGTAACGAAACGAATCGCACATGTCTAATTTTAACCCAGTCCGGAAAAGCTGCTGCGGAATATACCGAAGATAACTGTGACAGCTGTGCAGCCCGATAGTATAAAAATAGATTGGGGACCGCTAGACCTCCCTGAGCTCTGGATTTAAATAAAATAGATTGCGAAATTCTGGGATGTTTATTGCCCCAAATTAATTTCATAATAGATGTTTGTCATTTAAGAAGTTCAGTCCGTTGGATCGAAATTGGTAAATCTCTAAAATAATACAACATTTTAGGGAGTAAGGTCATTTTATCCAACATCTGGATCGGCTAAGCCGAACCTCCGGCAGGCTACTCGCTGCTGTTCGGTCTATTGTCATAGATGCCGAACAGCAGTGAGTGAATAGCCGAATGCCGCCGAGCGGCATTCGGCTAGGCTATTTTTCTCGGTACCTCTGTGGTACCGAGCAGAATAGAAAAACAGTTAAACAAGTAGAAAAAATAAAATAGAAAATGATTAGGCGGAGCTAGCAGTGACAGCTAGCTATGCCCAACTGTTTTATATTGCATAGCTAGATTCCTATTGACTATTTCACTTTGCAATAGCCAATAGCAAACTAGCTATTGCACCCGCCCTCTGCTGCTGTAAATCACTAGAGGGGACCTGATGGAGAACTTCAGGTCCCCTCTGACAGCAGCAGTGGGCGGGTGCAAAAAAAAGACAACAGAGCAGGGAAAGGTTTACTCTGCTCGATCGAGCAGAGTAAAACTTGAGCCGCTAATAGTGGGAGACTCCCGAAGCGTCTGGGAGAGTTGGGCTATCTGGAGCTGCCGAGGGATCTAAGCTGCCGAAGGATCTAGCCATAGCTTCGGCTGATCCTTCGGCTAGCTTCAGGCCCCAGGACCCCTTCGGTTCAATAGAACCGAAGGGCTGCGGTACGGCTATTCACTATAGACCGTACAGCTCCCGAAGTCGGCCGAGCGGCTCAGTCGACTGAGCCGCGGTGAAAGCCGAAGCGAAAGCCAAAGCTGGGCGGAGCCAGCCGTCATCTGACGGCTGGCTCCGGCCACTTGCACAGACAGATCAGCGTCCCTGGTTACCAGGTAACCAGGGACACTGATCTCCAGAGAGCCCAACTTTCCTGGACACTCCGGGAGTCTCCCGCTATTCCCTACTCTGTTATTTCTTCTTCTGACATCGGAGCCGTTGGCTGTCAGAATAAAATTAAAAAATCACCATAGGAATGCATAAGCTAGATTCCTACTGGCTATTTCAATTTGCAATAGCCAATAGCAAACTAGCTATTGCACTCGCCCAGTGCTGCTGTCAATCAGCCGATGGGACCTGAAGTTCTCCATCAGGTCCCCTCCGCCCAATCGTTTTGTATTTTATTTTTTACTACTTTTTTAACAGTTTTTCTATTCTGCTTGATACCACGGAGGTGCCGAGCTGAATGCCGCTCGGATGTTCGGCTTAGCCGATCCAGAGGTTGGATCAGCTGAGTCGAACCCCTTCTACACTTCGGGTCGGCTGAACATGCTGAGAATGTTCGGCCGACCCGAAGCAAGCCAATGTACAGCCGACATACAGCTGATATCAGCTGTACAGGCCTGAAGTGAATAGCCGAATAGCGTTCGGCTCACTTCACTTCGGGTCGTTTATTCATTCATGATGGCTCTGCTCGATCGAGCAGAGTAAACCTTTCCCTGCTCTGTTGTCTTTTTTTTCTTCTGACATCGGAGCCGTTGGCTGCCGTCAGAATAAAAAAATTTTAAAACACCATAGGAATGCATAGCTACATTCCTATTGGCTATTTCAATTTGCAATAGTCAATAGCAAACTAGCTATTGCACCCACCCACTGCTGCTGTCAATCAGCAGAGGGGACCTGAAGTTCTCCATAAGGTCCCCTCTAGTGATTGACAGCAGCAGAGGGCGGGTGCAATAGCTAGTTTGCTATTGGCTATTGCAAATTGAAATAGCCAATAGGGA